GCAAGTGAGTATGCAGTACTTGTCCTTCTGAATGTGTCTTATTTCACTTAACCCAATCTCCTCAGGTTCCATCCATTGTCTTGCAAAAGACAGATTCTCATGTTTCCTTATGGCTGTGTAGTACTCCATTGTGTATGGAGATCATATTTTGTTTATCTGTGCATCTAGTGGTGGCTACCCAGGCTGACCTTATAGCGTGGCTGTTGTGAACAGTGCCCCGAAAAATGAATCTGCAGGCATCCTTTAATACTATTGGCTGTGCACCAGGAATGGAACATCCAGGTCATACAGATGCCAACCAATGGGACTTATTTATGGCCTCATGTAGTGGAGAGGCCCTCAGGGTCTCCTAGGATGACCAGGGTGCAGCTGGGGCACGAAGAGACTTTATGTGAAGCCGGTTGCCCCAGCTCTCATGCCCAGGAGGGCAGTGGCTGCCTGGAATCTGGTCAGCCCCAGGTCACAGTGGGCAAGAACACAAGAGCCCTGCTGGGGTCCAGGGCCCAGCAGGGAGTGGTTTCTGTGGAACCTTGGGACAGTAACAGCCACAGAGACTGTGCGCTTCCACTCCATTGGAGGCAAGCTTGGAAGTCTTTGGATTTCAGAAAACGAACTAGGAAAGCCCAGGTGCCACGTGTTAGCACGCAGCAGCAACAGTACAGGGTAATGGGAAGGAATGCAAACCTGACCATGGAAGCGCCTTTCCCTGGCTGGGCCTGCGGCCGGCTTTGTGACCAGGCCCATACCGGAGCTGTCATGGTCCACTTGCAGGCGAGTGGAGACTCAGCTTCATTCACTCTGGGCTGCCCATGACCTCCAAAGATCTTCCCAGCATTATGGGAAGACGGGCATGCTCCACCGCGCCCTGCAACTTGCTTCTGATGAATTGAAAGTGGCTGTGGTTGGGGCTGGGGATTTAGCTCAGCGGCATAAGCACCTGCCTTGCAAGCAGGCGGTCATGAGGGTACCGATAAAAAGGAAAAAGACAAAAAAAAAAAAAAGAAAGAAAGAAAGAAAGAAAGTGGCAGTGGTGCAGGGATTTCCCCTCTGAGATCAGATTCCATGTCATTGTCCCAGTAGGACTTCCACTTTGGTCTGCAGAACCCAGAGCCAAGCCTTGCGTGGCCTGAGGCAGGGCCAGGGAACAGGAACTGAGGATGTGTACAGCTGCTACACAGCCAGCGTTTGATACTGCCTGGCGAACCCCTATTGCAAGCCGGGAGTGGTGGCGCAGGCCTGTAATTCCAGCACTTCTGAGGCTGAGGCAGGTGTATCTCTACAAGTTCGAGACCAGCCTGGGCCACATTGTGAGTTCAAGGCCAGCCTGAACTGAGACACTTGTGTCAGCAGAAAAAAACAAATAAAAATGGTGGAAAATTTGGAGATTGTCCTCCTGCACTGTCTGCTTTTGATATAAACAGAAAAGACTTTTTGACATAGAAAAAAGCAATTCAAGAGCCTGCGGATGTGTGTAAAACATCAAGCCTGGCCCAATATTTCCAAGTGACATATTTCAGCCTTCTGCTAATGTTTCCCCACTGATAGCGACCTGTCCTCGGGTTTGAATGGAGGACAGCAGCGTCATATGTTACACACATCCTGCAGCAGGGACTGTCACGTTCTGCAGTCAACACTGATTGCCACAGTGGCGGAGACATTCTTCAGGCAGATTCAGTCTCCCCCAGGGCAAGGAGGGCTCTTTGGATCTGGGTCTGTGCTGGATGGGAGAGGGTGCCCCTTGCACCCAGGGAATGAATTTCCCAGCCTGGTCCCACAGGAAGGAAGCAGCCAGCTGTGTAAACCAATAGCACAGCACACTTGCTGAGGATCTGGTCACACATAGGTCCCTGCTGCTCTTCCTGTGTGAGCTGGGCCTGGGCACCCATCCTGCCAAACCTGCCTCCACTTGGGCCACTTTTTTGCTTTGTTTTTTTTTTTTTTTTTTTCATACTGGTATTTGAGCCCAGGGCCCTCGCACTGAGTAACACACCAGCCCCTTGTGGATTTTATTATAAAGTAGGGTCTCCCCAGGCACGGTGGCACACTGTTGTTATTACAGCACTCAGGAGAGCTGAGGCAGGAGGATCTCTACAAGTTCAAAGTCAGCCTGGGTTACATAGTGAGGCCCTGTCTCAAAGAAAGAAAGCAAAGGAAGGAAAGAAGAGGTGTACAATGTGCTGTTTTGAGATACTGTAATATATGCAAGAAAGCGATGGCCCGTCGAACTTCATATCCATCATCTCAGGCTTCTGTTTTGTTTTTGCTTTTTGTTTTGTTTTATTGAGACAGGGTTTGACTATGTAGTCCATGCTGGCCTTGAACTCACTCTGCAGCGCAGGCTGGCCTCGAACTCTTGGTGATCCTCCTGCCTCAGCCTCCCGAGTGCTTGGGAGGACAGGCGTGTGCCACCACACCCAACATTCAAGCGCTCTTTCTGTGCCTGGTTTATTTTCCTCCGTGTAGTGTTCTCCAAGTTCACCCTCTGACCACAAAAAACAGGCTGAATAGGACGTCATGACATGCACAGCTCAGGGGTAGAGCATTTGCCTAGTATGTGTGACACCCTGGATTCAGTCCCTAACTACACACACACACACACACACACACACACACACACACACAGAATTTGTGGGGTGTGTTGCTGCCATATGCCTGCGCTCCACAATTCTGGGAGGCTGAGGCACAAAGGTGGCAAGTTCTAGCCCAGCCTGGGGTGGGTGGAGCTCTGGGTTGCAGATGGTTCCTCAAATGAAGGAGACAGTAACTCGGGCTGCAGTGTGAGGCATCCCGGGTGCCCACAGTCCATGTGACACAGGGGCCTCTCCCCATGTTTGAGCATTTGTTTGAGGGTTTTCTGTGTGTGCTTGTTTTTGTTTTTTGAGATAAGGTTTTGTGTAGCCCAAGCTGGTCTCAAACTGGTGGTGATCCTCCTTGCCTCAGCCTCTCAAGTGCTGGGATGACAGCGTGCTCATCGTCCCCTTCACAACAGCCCTGGTGCACCTTGGTAGGTGGCAGAGGCCGCGGCCCTGGCAGGCTGATAGTCTCGGGGACTTTGCCCCCACACCAGCAAGCTGTTCTGAGTAGCTATAACTTCATACAAGGCAAGAAATGCAGCCCCTGCAGCCTTTGTCTTTTGGAGACAGGGTTTTGCAGTTTGGGCTGGACTTGAACTCACTAGAGAGCCCAAGCTGGCCTCCAACTCGCTTCAATCCTTTCTCAGCCTTCTGGGGTAACGGATGTGTGCTACCACACCCAGCTGAGTTTTGTACTGCTTTTATTAAGGTTATTCCTAAATTTTGACTTTTTGATGTTCTTAGAAATGGAATTGCTTTGTTTCATTTTTACATTGTTCATTGTTGATACACAGAAATGCAAGTAATTCTTTTCTTTCTTGAACCCCTTTATCAACTCCCATGCCCTGCCATACCCCTAATTTCGCATTAGAGGGGTGAATGTGTAAGTCTCTCTTCCAGGTAGGGTGTGATGGCATGTCTGTCATCTCAACCCTTGGGATGCTGAGGCAGAAATCCCAGGAGTCTGAGGCCAGCCTGGGCTACACAGTGAGTTTAAGGTCAGCCTGAACTTTATAGCAAGACCCTACCTCAAAACCGGAAATTTAAAAATATTAATCTCCCTTCTTCTTTCTTAGATTCCACATTAGGGACGATGTGTAATCCTTCGCTTTCAGTCTGGGTTATTTTGCATAACAGGATGAGCTCCAGACCCATCCATCTTCCTTTGGATGACAAAATGTCCCTTCTTCATAGCTAACACTCCAGTAATTTTTGTTATTTCTGGGCAGTCCACACTAAGCACTCATTTTCATGTTTCTCTGGTGTACCACTGCCTTGCTGAATCCATGTATTTGCTCTGAGAGGTTTATCTGGAAACTCCTCAGGACTGTGTAGCAGCAAGGACATGTCGCTGCAGTTTGACGTCTTGGTTTCCAGCCTGGCTTTTCCTTCCCATGCCCCTATCAAGCAGCAGCCCACCGACACCCACAGCACTTCCTTCTGCCACTGCCACTAGGCACTGGCTCAAGGCTTATCTGGCCTTGGGCACCTTCATCCAATGTCCCTTTCAATGTTAGCACCTCTGGGGACAGTGGAGCTGGTGCCTCAATCTCCCTGAGAGGGAAAGCCTCAGATTGCAGGCAGATTACTTCTCGAGGAAGACTAAGAAAGGTCACTGCAGAAACCCAAAACGGGGTTGGGGGTTTAGCTCAGTGGCTTAAGCACCTGCCCGGTAAGTGCAAGGTTGCGAATTTGATCCTTGGTACCAAAAATCCTAAAATGGTATAATGGCCAGGTAAGTAGTGCATACATGTCACTCAACACTTGGGAGGCTGTGACCTTGTCTCAAAAAGTTACCCTTAGTCAGACACCTACCTATCATTCCAATAAAGGCTGAGGCAAGAAGACCAGTCATCTGTTTGGAGTCAGTTTTGCCCTCCCCTGGTTGGTGAGGTAAGTTATAGTGGAGGGGCACAGGCCAGGTGTCTCACCCATCCCTGGGGGATCTCACTCACCCACATTGAGCCTGTTTGTCCCCTACACATTGCAGAGGCGGCTGTGTCCAGGAGCAAGCGCCTCTGCGTTGACGGGCCACAGGCTTATGTGAGAACTAAGGAAAGCTGAGATAGGCTGTTCCAGCATGGGCCACGGCCGTGGGGACAGACAGCTGTGACCATGACCATGAGCAAGGTTCCTGCCCACCCAGCACCTGACAGGACGGACTTCTACACCTGCTGGACCTGCAAAATTCTCAACAGTGAACTCAGAGGAAAAGCTCTCAAAATTAAACACCACAGCCTGGTGTGCCAGCCACACCTGTCATCCCGGCACTTGGGAGGCTGAGGCAAGAAGATCGCTGTGAGTTCTAAACACGTGCGCACGCACATACGTATGGCTGTCTATCTAACAATTTAACAGGACCACAGGTAGCAGGCAATTCTAGCCATACTGCCATGGGTCAGAAACTTGCAGTTATCATAGAGCAGATTTTGAAAAATGTAATACTGTTTATTTAACTTGGAAAACATTTCAGCATTCTAAACATACAAAAAAATAACACAACATTGCAAATCGTGTTAAAGTACAGAAGCCTCTTGAACCTTCGTGGACTCTGCCAATAAAGCATTCTACGGTTTGTTTAGAACAGTTTCCATCTACAGCACTTAACTAAAAGAAAGAAAACCAGTAACAAATCCAAACAAACACTTCTCATGCCAGCTGACCCTCTCGGACCCCAGCTAAGACAGGGCAGCAGGATGCTAGGTCACTATATACAGAAGCTAACGATGCCCGCCACAGCCACACCAACAACAGGTTTACGGTCCCCTCCTGGTGGCATCTGTCCCACAGCCTTGGCGCCAAGCAGTGAGCATCAAGGGTTTGCCTGGGTTGCTTTGTTCTTTTTACAAACTCTAGATATGTACAGTTGGTAACTCAGGGTTTCTAGCCAATAACCATGTAGTTAACACCACCTTACAAATTAAACAAACGCCTTTCACAGCAACAGCAAAGTGCAGAGTGAGGAGAACACAGTGCCTTTTCAATTTAAAAATGTTTGGCAATATGTACAGCTTTGATACAATTTCACAGCGTTCCGGACCCCCGCGACCACACTGGGCAACTACTGCCAACTTCTGGAGCATTTTGAGAGACTACAAGATCGCAATCGGGTTGGCATTTAACCTAAGAGACGGTCAGTCACGGCGCTCCCCTACTCTAAGGGATTCACAAGGAGCCAGAAAAGATTTTTTATTCATCCTCCTCCTCCTCTTCCTCCTCTTCCTCTTCTTCCTCCTCTTCCTCTTCATCTTCCTCTTCAACCTTTTTCCGGGCAACTTTAGCAGGACCCTTCGCACCGTCAAATTTTCCTTTAGACTTATAGTCAGCGACATCCTAGAAGAAATGGGACATTGATTTCCAAGCATCATCAAAGTCATGTTAACAGCCTTACTGAAACACACAGGCTAGGCCAACTCCACCACTGAGCTGTGGTGGAGTTGGCATTATTATAGTGCACCGTTGGCACTATTATTTTTTTCCTTGAAGAGTAAAGCTGGAAATCAGGGATGGTGGCACATGCCTGTAATTCCAACACTCTGGGAAGCTGAGGCAGGAGGAATCCAAAGTTGAGCCCAAACCCAGGAACTTAGTGAGATCCTAGCTCGATAAAAAATAAAAAGGGCTGGGGATGTAGCTCAGTGTGAAAGCCCAGTGTTCCAACCCTAGCACTTAAAAAGGCGGGGCTGGGGATTTAGCTCAGCGGCATAAGCGCCTGCCTTACAAGCAGACAGTCATGAGTTCAATTCCCCGTACCAATAAAAAGGAAAAAGACAAAAAAAAAAAAAAAAAGAAAGAAACTTAAAAAGGCAAAACTGTAAGCCTGCCTAAAACTGAACTGTCAAGATCTAACATGGGAACACCAGGCAATTGCACAGGGAATCTTGGGGGAAGTGGTGGCAGCCCCTTGCGCGGAGCTGCACAACCACAACCCAGCAGCAGCCTTACCTTCTCATACTTCTCCTTCAGCTTGGCCGCCTTGGTAATGTAGGGCTGCTTTTCGCTATCACTCAGGTTATTCCACATCTCCCCCAGCTTTTTGGCCACATCTCCAATGGAGATACCGGGGTTGGTAGATTTGATCTTGGGGCGGAATTCGGAGCAGAACAGGAAAAATCCAGACCTGGAGGAGAGAGAGAAAAGAAGTATATAATTTAGATAAGGATCTACCAAATAACATGTGAGCTTAGGTCGAATCCCCACGTTCCTGAGCTTGAGCCGGTTTTTCTCACCAGCAGTTCTTCCTACATGGCAAGTGTTGCTATAGAGTTGCAACTTCTTAGGCTGCTTAAGGTGTGGCACAAATGCATGGGTTTTCAGTTACATGATATGGGGTAAAGGACCTACCCAGGGGGCCCTGGCACCCAGAATCAGGGGGTCACTTTCTGAGTAAAAGGGCAACAGGCCACCACTGTGCATTTCTGCACACATAGACATACACACTTACTTAGGGCTCAACTGCAGGTGACACTGATACTGCATTTTAAAAGTGTACGTAACAATATTTCGCAAAGGCATTTTAGATAAAGTACCTTTCAAGCAAAAGAAAAGCTCGCCAACTGTTACTTGCAATCCCACAGTCACTTACGGTGGTCTTTTGGGGGCATTGGGGTCCTTTTTCTTCTTGCCTCCCTTGGCGGGTCCATAATCTTTCATCTCTCGGTCATAGCGCACTTTATCGGCTTTGGCCATTTCATCAAACTTGGATTTCTCTTTCCCGGACATTGTCTGCAAAGAATGGGGCCTGTTAAAATCCCTCTGTACAGGACGCACACCGTGTGGCTGGCCTGTGACTCAAGTAGCTGTTGTCACCATTACAAGCAAAGGCTGCAAAGGAGGCTAAGGCTTAGTCTAAACTCCCAAAACCCTAAAGATACGGGGAGACTTGGAAGGTCAACCATGAAATACAAAGGAAGCAACAAAATACCTTCCACCTCTCCGAGCACTTCTTGGAAAATTCAGCAAAATTGACAGGGACCTCCGGGTTCTTCTTCTTGTGCTCCTCTCTGCAGGTCTGCACAAAGAAGGCGTACGCAGACATCTTGCCCTTTGGTTTCTTGGGGTCCCCTTTAGCCATCTTGACTGTGAAAGAGACAAAGCAGCAGCAGAATAAGAAATGGAATGAGGACTAGAGGAAAACTTGAAGGCAAGGCACAATTCCAAACTTTCCAACAGGAAGCCCCTGCCCCAGTGCCTGATAGCTCTAGCATAGGAAAGCAAGGTGCTAAGGACATTGGCCTCACTGTCACTTGTCATTTAACTTGGGACTGGCATGAAGTGCACTGGTTTGTGAGGTGCTTGTATTCAAGTTGTTCAAATGGGGCGAACTAAAGTGGGATGGCTGGTGCTGCAATCCTGAGCTACTTGTGGCTTGCATGGCTTGGGGGCAAAAGCCCAGAGTGGGTAGGGTACACAGAGGGTGCATGTGGAAGGGGTAGGTGGCACAAGTCTGAAAGCAGTAACTAAACCTATCTCTTTAACTCCTACCTTTGCTTGAAAAACACAAAAATGTTAAATGGTTATTGTTGCTACCTAAGATCAAAGCAAAAAAAAAAACATAAATGGGGAACGTTAAATATTACTGCTGTGGGTGTGTTTTGGTTCAGAGAATTGGCTTTTATTACAGGGTAATGTGCAAAGTGACCAGGCAGCCCTCGTACTGGTAGTGCCAATATGTCACTGTCACTAGGTAAAGGGGAAGGGGATATCCAGAGAGCTAGTCTTGCCCCTATGAACGCTCTATGTAGGTCCAGCCAAGAACAGTTTGTCCAAAGTTTCCAAATCAAAATGCAGCTGTGGTGTGTCATCGTCCCTGTCCCACCTCCCGCTTCCCGCCATCTTTTCCTTTTCCAGCACCCAAGGTCATCACTAGAAAGCTCAAGCGCTCCCCTCAGCAACGATAGCCTCCGGGGCCCTGCAACGGCAGCCCGAGCGGTGCTTAGCCCGGCGTGGGGAAGCCCCGGCAGGCAGCTGGCAGCGCCACTCGGCCCCCGCGCTGGCTCCCCCAGACACCCTTAATTCACCTTCCATTTTATCCCAAGCCTCCCGATGAAAGAAAGTGCCCCTGAAATCCGCCGCTGCCACCTCTGGGGGACGCGCGGGACCGGGGGTGGTGCCGGCGCGCGGGGGGGCGGGGATCGGGCCGGCAGCCGCCGCCGCCGCCGCGCCTCCCGAGCCCGGCTCGCTAAAATGGCTGATCCGCGCGCGGCCAGGCGCGGGCAGCGACGAACAAAGCGGCCCGGGCTCCGCAACCGCTGGCACCGCCCGCCAGCGGGCCCCCGCCCCGCCCCGCCAGGCCCGGGCCACCCGGGGGCGCAGGGAACGCGGGGGCTGCGGGCCGGACCTCCCCGCCCCCGGGCCGGGCACACGGCAGGGATAACAAAGGCCCCGCGCAGCCATGACGCGCGGCCGCGCCGGAGCCCGCGGCGGCCTCCCCGGCCCTGTGTGCCCCCCGTCTGGAGCCGGGGCTACTGGGGCCACCGACGCCGCCGGGCCCCACCGCCAGCGCCTGCCCGCCCCGCCGATCCCGTGCCGCGCCAGCCATGTTGGTGGCGACCTCGGCGGCGACGGCGATCGGAGGCCGGGCGGGCAGCAGGGACAGCGAGGACAGAGTGGCCACGACCCCCGGGTCCCCACGCCCGCGACTACCATGTCTACAAGCCCGCGGCGCAGTCCGCGCTCCGGCAGCGAAGTTTGCGGGCGCCGCGGCCCCGGGCGCGCACCGGCCGCCGCCCCCCGCGGAGTCCCCGCAGCCAGGTGCCTGCTCCCTGCCACACTCTGTACCCTATCGCCCTCGGTCGGGCCTCCGCCGCTGTCGCACAGCTGGCCGGGGGTGGGGAGGCCTCGGGCCCTTGGCCGCTGTCCCCGGGGTCGCCTGGCGAGCGCGGCTCTGCGATGCCAGCCGAGCCCGGGATCCAGGGACACGGGCGAGAGGCTCGGAAAAGTTGCAACACCTGGATCGACTCCCCGTTCGTGGCCAGGCTGCAGGCGGCGGGCGCGGGGTCGGCGCGGCGCGGGCAACGCGGGCCAGAAAGTTGCGCGGGCGCTGCGGCGGGCGCTGCGGATCGTACCTGTATTGTTCGCGAGTCTGGGCAGCGCAGGGCACGACGCGCGGCTCGGGCTCCCAGCCTCGCGCTAGCTGCCTCCACGAGAGCCGCCTGATTGGCCAGCGGGCTCTGCCGTTTAAAACAGCCTCCTCGCCCAGCCATTGGCTGCGGCCCTCATGCATATTAAGCAGGCGCGGGCGCCCATTGGGCGCGGTCTCTGGGATCATTCATTCAAACGGGAGGACCCGCGGCGCCAGTGGCAGGGGCTAGCCGAGAAAGACAATGTTGCTGCCCGCCCACCCTCGCCTGGTCCTCTCCAGGCTGAGTCTATCTCAGGACTCCCCCGCGACCCCCGCAGGCCTTGCCCTCTGGCGCGGATAGTGGAGGTCAGACAGCCCATACTGCGCTTTGCTACCGCCGCGCCTCGGCTCTGCGCCCCTGGCTCTGGACCCTGGCCTCTGGCCCAGGAGCCTCCGGAGTGGGTCACGGGGTTCGTGGTCCCCACTTCCACCCGAGGCCCAGCCGGGAGCTCCGCACACCCGGCGGCTCCAGCCTGGCTCCGCTGACCGCCTGCGCGACAGGGACCTGACCCCGTTGCTGCGTGTCGCGAGCCACTGGTGGGCGGCCCGCAAAGGAAAAAAGGACTTTGCAGTAGTACATGTGACAAGCTGTGGCTGTGACAGGCAGGGACTGCAGGTGCCCACACGGCCCTCTCCTCCGCAGCACTCACCCTGGTGAGGGGTACACGTCCTGGAATGAAAGAATGAATGGGCTCCCTGAGCTCTTCTACACTTAGCCACTGCAGATGAAAAGGCCCTGAGCAATGCTTGACAAAGTGTGGGGGTACACTGGGACCCTGCTAAAGAAGGTACAGAAACTCATGGGATTTGGGGTGCCTGGTGACCAGCAGGCATTGCTGGAATTTGAGGAAAGGATGGCTAAGGACCCTGCGCTAGAACGAGGCATCTCACCCCAAACCCCAGCAACAGTTTTGTTGATCTGGAAACTATCTTAAGGGGCCTTGGCTCTGTGGGGTACCAGGAACTTCCTAGACAGGATGGAAGAAAAAAAGAGCAGTGATGGGCCATGGTGGCACAAGCCTGTCATCCCAGCACTGGGGAGGCTGAGCCAGAAGAATCGCCAGCTTGGTCTTCAAGGCCACCCTGGAATACATGGAGGGATCTTGCCTCAAAAAAGATCTTAAAGGTTGAGACTTGGAGAAAAAAGTGCAAAGGACAGGCAGCCTGAATTTGGGGTTTTTCTCCTTTAACAAGAGGCCTAGCTATTCAGAGCAAGGCTGCCAGCACACCAGCTCGTGCACACGGGTTTGCTGAGGCTTCCACCATAAGGGGGACCCATCTAGGCACTGAGCCAGCCGTCTAGGTTCCCAGACTCAGTGGCTAAGGGATGGGTACCCTGGTCCCTGTCTGGCCCTGTGACTCCATTAGGAACAACCAAGTAGTTGCCTGCCTTCTACTTACATGCCTCTGCGACAGGGAGCTCACTACCTTACGTCGGACTGTTCTTCCATGCATGTCATCTCTGAGCCAGGGGTCACCTGCCTACTACATTCTGCAGGGAGTTCAAGGCAGGTCAGGCCCTGGCTCCAAACAGCCCCTCTGCCACATTGCAGGACCCACAGCCCCAGCCCACCCTGTTCCTTTTCCTGTCTCCACTTCGCCAAGGCCAGAGAACAGCAGTTTCTGGCTACTCCCCTCTCCTCTGCCCAGGTTCCTGAGCCCCTCAAGATCACCAGGCCTGCATAGGCCAGCCACAATGTGACTTGGGGTCGCCCACCCCAACCCCACCACAGCACCACACAGGCGGTCCTCTTAGAGTGACATACAGCAGATTCGCAGGGGCGTCCTCCGGTACCAAGGAAGCACAGGAAGCATGTGTAGCTCCATCTCAGCTCCAAGCGAAGCTTCTCTTTCTGCCATGGTGCTCTGCCTGAGGCTTCTAGCAGAGGTTGGCCGTCATCAGAACCTTACAGTGCAGCACTATGACATCGCTGAGCACCTAGGACTGAGGTGGTTTCCGTGGTTCTCTGAAAGGCAAACATACCCCATCCAGCTACCTGATATCCCCAAGTGTCCCTGGAGTCCTCGGCCAGCACCCCAGGGCAGCCTGTGACCCATGGGTTCAGACCTCACAGGGATGGGACGAAGCTGGGCAGAAGGTGCCCATGCCTGTAATCCCAGCACTGGGGAGGCTGAGGAGTGAGGGTCTCAGAGTTCAAGGCTGGCCTGAACTACACAGTGAGACAGTGTCTCAAATAAAATAAAGTAATAAAATAAAAATGTTAAAAGCAGCTGAGCATTGCCCTTCTGCAATCCCAGCATCGCAAGAGGCTGAGGCAGGAGGATTGCCCAGCCTGGGCAATCTAGTAATTTAGGGAGACCCAGCCTCAAACTAAAAGCAAACTGATGGGTGGAGGGCCCAGTGGAAAAGCCCTCACTTTAGTCCCCTGTAACCACAGGGAGATTGTCTTGAGCCCAGCCGAGATCACGACCTTTCAGTACAGGATTGGAGAACCTTTGTGATTCTGCTGTGATAGATAGGATGTCTTTGACTAAAGCTTCCTGCCCTGGCCCCTCCCTGCTGTCCTCCCCGGCGCCCCCCCACCCCACCCCGACCCGGCAGGCACGCCCTCGCTCCCCTCCCCCACCCCTGCTGCTGCCCTGGGGTGGGTGGGGGTGGGGTGCTGAGCTTTCCAGACCTACCATTTCTTAGGTCTTTCCTGTGTGCCAGGCTTCTCTATGTGGCAGTTGTACCACCCAGAAGTCCTTGCAGCACTACAGCTGGGCCTCCTGGGGCACCCAGCACTCACAGGCTGGGGGTTGTGCCCGAGTCCCCACGAGGATGAATAGCAAAGCCAAGTCAGAAAGCCCAGTCTCTTGAGATTTACTGTCATATGTATCCTACTCTTCTTTTTCCCCTTTGCATTACTGTGTACTGAACCCCACCCCTTTGCACTGAGCTACATCCCTGGCTCTTCTTCGTGTTCTGTTTTGAGACAAGGTCTTGTTAAATTGCAGTTGTCCAGGCTGGCTTATACTTGAGATCCTCCTGCCTCTGCCTCCTAGAGAGCTGGATGACAGGCACTTATAAGAGCTCCGCTCCATCATGGCTACAGTGGCCTTTGGCTTGCAGGTGGGAGCAGCTAGCATACTTGGGAGGGGTTCCTAGTTCCACATCTGTCCGGGCTTCTGAGGATGTGACAGTCTGGATCCTCACAAGCAGGTCCCTTGCTTGGCCTTGGCTGCCAGCCAGGTGGTTTGGTCCCTTCCCAGGTACTGCCTGCCTGCCAGGGGTTGGGACAGACTGGGACATGCTGCCTATCCTGCTGCCCTGGGGGGCAGAGGACTGAAGTAATTTAGCATGACACAAGCTTACCTTTTCCTTTGTTCTTTTTTGTTTTTAGTGTTCTTGGTTTGGAGTTTGTTTTGCTTGAGCCACCATCTCGCTTTGTAGTCCAGGCTTACCTTGAATTCACTTTGTAGTGCAGACTGGCCTCAAACCTGCATGGATCCTCCTGCCTCAACTGCTGGAGCACTGGGATTATAGGCATGTGCCACCACACCCAGGTCTAAAGCATTATTGTTGTAGGAGTTTTTGGTTTTCCCAGGGTCTTTTCCTAGCCCCGCCTCACTGGGTGGCCACCCAGTCCTAATCCACAGAGCCTGAAGACTGAGGCCAGGAAGAGGGAGGGAATGTGAAGAGTTCCCTCCCCCCTTTTCCCCCCAGCAGCCCCAGGTCCTGGGGGCTCAGCAGAGGCGGAAGCACCACTGCAGTGGGGTCACTTCTGCACACAGCCCTGCCCTGGCCAGCTCTGCCTCACTGCTGGGTGACCCTGGCATCTCGCCCAGGAGCTCACAGGCCAGCTTGCTGCTCACACTCTGCATAGCACAAGCTATTTCCCGTTGCCTTTAACAATGCTCCTGGGCAGCAGGCCTGGTGTAGCACACAGGTCACCTCATCATTGGGGAGGCTGAGGCAGGAGGATCGCCATGAGTTCTAGGCAAGCCTGCCTGAGATTAAGCAAAATGAAGGTTCTCGGCGCTGGGGTTGCAGCTCAGGGTGGAGGGGTGGGGGGTTGCACACCTGCCCAGCACACCACCCCCAGCACTACCACAGAGAACCACCCTCACACCCTCTTGCTGAACATGCTTATTATGAAGAAGCAGGAATAGGTCTCTGGGGTCCCTCTCTTTCTGTTCCCCACCTTCTCCTTTCTCAGGTTTGCGTTCACACTGAGCTTCAGCCCCAACACACTGCTAAAATGTTGAGACATGGGTTCACTGGGTCACTAAATTGACTAGACTGGGCTGGAAATTGGGAGCTTCCTGCCTCAGCCTCCAAGAGTGCTGGAATGCCAAGCACAGGCCACCATACTTGCAGGACTCCCCTTTATTCTTAATGGTCACTCGGATTCTTCCTCGTGAAGGAAAGCTTCACTAGGGGCAAGGAGCCACTGCTGCCTATGCCAAGAGCCACTACTCCGAGACATCTACCAGTCACAACCACCTCCAGGGCACCTCCCCCCGGAGGCTCAGCTGTCCCTGTACCTCATACCTAGCTGCCTGGGTCACTGGTGTCCTCTGCACAGCTCTGGTCGCCATCTGGGGAGTTACCTGCTGAAGTGGGGTGAAGGAAGGCAGGCCAGGGCAGGAAAGGGATGCTTGTGTCACTGCACGCCTGCAGAAGGACCCAGCCGCCCACTCCACACCACAAGGACTCCTGGCTGGGCTGGGTTGGGCAGCACATTCAACCCTGACACAGTCTACCCTGTCCCTTGTCCAGGAGGGCATGGTGGCATATGCCTGTCACCCCAGCATTCAGGAGGCTGAGGCAGGAGGATCCCCTCCAGTTTGAGGTCAGCCTGGCCTTCAACGTAAACCCGGTCTTTAAAAAAAATCTACCCAGTTCCTAGAGGGGCAAAAGGACAGTGCTCTTGGCTGCCACAGGGAGGGGACTGGATATGTCTACGCTCCCTGCCCCATCCGGAACTCTGGAGCCCTGAGCTTGATGTACAG